GCATCCTGACAATTAAATGGATTAAATTGTTTTGCAGTTGGTTCATTTAATTTTTATATCTAGGACAGCTACCTGGAGTATCTGCAGATATGCAGGCTTGATAAACACATCTTCCTTGAGCTTATGTAACTGAGTAACTGACTAATGTATTCCAATATAATGTGTTTTTCCTTGACCTTCTGGAGAACAGCAAGTGATTTGAGGTTTGCATTGCTGAAGAGATCCTGGGGCTGTGGGACCAGTATCAGTGAGTGGCTTAGTTTATGGTTTTACTTGAGTAGAGGAAAGGTGAGGACTGAGCAGGAGGTTTCAGAACTGTTTTCATATAGATATGAAAGACACGAAGATACAAATTCAAGATTATACCCCTTTTTCTGTACAAAAAGAAAATTCAGGGTTGCTTTATTTTGTTGTAAAAGATCTAGAATCTTTGGTCAAATCAGTAAATATAGATTTAATTGCTTAATCTGAAATCTGAAATCTGAAATGCTCCTAAATCTGAAACTTTTTGAGCTTTGATTTGAAGCTCATAGGAGATGCTCATGGGGCATTTCAGATTTTCGATGTTCGGATTAGGTATGCTGAATCTGTAAGTATGTATAATTCAAACATCGTGAAATTCAAAAGTATCCGATATCTGAAACACTTCTGGTCCCAAGCATTTCCCAAGTATACTCAACATGTATTAAGGCTAAGCAGGTCAAGTTCTATTCTTAGCATTTCTTTCCATGTGCATCCTAACTTGGCCCATGGAGTATCTGATTGTCCCTTCTTTTCTCTTTTCCAATATTTAATTTATGAGTCAAGTCTCCACCCTCATTCCTGCTCTGTTGCCTTTCACTTTTCTCTCTCTCATCTATCGCCATCAACTTGAGGCGTGTGGTCCTCCAAGGCTATAGCCTGAATCCTGGCATCCCTATATCTCCTTCCTGATCTGCGTCCCAGGGCCAGCTAGACTCTTTCTCTGCTTGACCTCACTCTGTGGTCTTTACCAGACTGCACCATTGGTCAGCCACTCAATCGTGCCCTGAATTTCACTTCTTTTGTATATAATTTTTAGCCAGTATGCATGGGGTGCCTGCTCACACGTCACGTGCAATGCCAGGCCTTGGAGATGCAACAGTGAACAAGAGAAATCGCATAACCCTGCCCTTGAGGAAGTGATAGGTAGGCCTTCAGACCTCTGGGTTCATGTCATTCCTTGCATCGGGAATGACCACCGTCCTCCCATCCTTCACCTCCACCTCCGTTTCTGCGTGTCCAAATCTCTCCATTCCTCAAGCCCAGTTTGGTATTCTATCCTCCCTGAAGCTCCTCCTCAAAAGTGTTGGCCAGAATTGACCTCTCTGCTGCTGCTAAACTCCTGCTTGTTTTGCCTTTTTTCTGAAATTATAGTGACTTGAGTATTTTCTTCTGTTTGTTGAGTGTAGGCTTCTGAAAGCAGGGGCTGGGACTTACCCATCTTTGCCTCTTCCACAGCCTCTGGCATAATGACATGAATGCAGTAAGTATGCAATAAATGTGTGTGGAATAAATTTAGGAATTCATGAAAGTTCACTTCCATTTTCCACCAGTACGTTCTGGCCAAGTGTCACTTGCTCATTATTAATCCTGAAACTTTAATGAAATTCATTTTCTTGGGGTGGGTACAGTGGTTTATGCCTGTAATCCCAGCACTTTGGGAAGCCAAGGTGGGAGGATCGCTTAGAGCTCAGGAGTTCAAGACTAGCCTGGGCAACATGGCGAAACCCCATTTCTACAATTAGCCAGGTGTTGGTGGTGTGCACCTGTAGCCCCAGCTATTCAGGAGCCTGAGGCTGGAGAATCGGTTGAGCCCAGGAGGTGGAGGTTGCAGTGGGCCGAGATCATGCCACTGCACTCTAAGACTGGGTGACAGAGTGAGACTCTGTCTCAAAAAAGAAAAAAAAAATTATCTTCTTTTTCTGTGAGTGTATAGCAGGCACATAGTAAAGAATTTTGAGTTCTGGGTTTAATAGGACTCAAATTGCAGTGGGAAGTGAATAGGTGAATTTTTTATGCTTATAGGCATATTTTTCTTAAAATATACAAAGTTATTGTCCAAATAAAAAGATATCTTAGAAAATTAACTGTTTACAGTTCTCATTGCCAATATTTTACTTCTGAAAACAAATAAACTGAAAGTAAATAATAGTGTATCTCTGGGAACTCACATGAAGAGGAAAGAAGACAGGTTTATACCTGGGTTCAGATCCCAGCTCTGCCATCATCTGACTTACGCAGCCTAGGTCAAGCTGTTTAACTTATTTATACTTTCATGTTTATCTCTGGCTCTCAGCATCTTGATAGACTGTTTCTTGCTCATCTTTGAAACTCCCATTCCTGAGACAGTATTTTGGAAATAGATATTCATTTGATATTAGATGAATGGATGGAAGGAAGGAAATTATCTACCTGATCCATTCTATTTGGGGAGTTTTCAGTGGTGATTGTAAAAGCAGAGAATGTTCAATCCATTTGATTTTCCTTTTCAAGTTCAAAAACTGATACTTTCGATATGGGGTGCTTTCACCGCTTTTATGGTAGCCGTACTCTTTGTTAGGTTATATTTACCTGCCAAGGCATGCCATGTCTCAAACCTTGTGAGTTCATCTGCAGCTATGATACTCCAGTTCATTTTAAGATACTACATTTTGGGTTTATTTTTTATTTGTTTTTGTTCTTGTCTTTGAGACAGAGTCTTGCTCTGTCGCCTAGGCTGGAATGCAGTGGCTTGATCTCGGCTCACTGCAACCTCTGCCTCTGGTTCAAGTGATTCTCATGCCTCAGCCTCTCAAGTAGCTGGGACTACAGTTGCACACCACCATGCCCAGCTAACTTTTGTATTTTTAGTAGAGATGGGGTTTTGCCATGTTGGCCAGGCTGGTTTCGAACTTGTGGCCTCAAGTGATCTTCCTGCCTTGGCCTCTGAAGTACTAGGATTATAGGCATGAGTTACCATGCCTGGCCTATATTTTGTTTTAATGTCTATCAAAACACCATTAAAGAAATCAGTTTTATTTTGTATTTTTTAACTGTGAAATCTTGTAGAAGTTAAAAATTTACGTTATGATAAATTGTTAGAGTCATGGTTCTATCACCCCTAAACTCAAAAACTCTCCTAACAAATGCAGTTGCTAAGTTGTTGATATTTACAAGGCTTAAAGTATTTTGACCAACATGATCTTTCTGTTATTTTTATTTAATAATAATAATGCTTTTTGAGAATATTGTTTATTTTTTCTGGCTCTGCCTTTTTAGATTCCGATCAATTTTGAGAACTACTAGTCTCAGTATCATTGTGTTTTCAGACAATAAGAGAGAATTGAAAAGATTTACTATTCACTCAAATGTGAATAAATTTAGTAGGAATTTGGACAAGGACCAAATATTGGTAGGACTTCCTTTCCATTAAACATGATGTAAAGTCTTTACAGAGAACTCTCTATCAACGCTAGGAGAATAACATTTAAAGGTTTACTTGTTGCTTTTGCAGACTAAAACTTCACCATTTTAGAAAGTAATTCGATTCACTTGTTTATTTAGCCTTTAGCATTAGAGAGGCCTGTATTTTTAAACTGCAGATTTTTTTCCTTTATCCTCAGGAGGAGTGGTTATGCTCTGTAATGCTATGCTTAAGTAAAATTACACATTCGGGGTATCTAAATTGGCATGCCAAATTATAGGACATTTTAATTATTATGTGGATGTGACAGATTCAATTATTCTTGAACTCCTTTGAGAAAGCTGCCCTTAGCAGTGATTTACAGTAGTAAACAAAAGATTAACAAGAAAATGCTCTTTATGAGGCTTAATAAATGTGTCCGATTAAATACCATGGGGCAAAATTAACTGCAATGTCTACAAGTAGAAAAACAACCTGTGTCCTGCTTGGAGGTTCAGTATATTCTCTTAAGATAAATTTACTCTAAATGAAGAACTAAGTGCCACTTAACATCAGAACTCTTTTTCTAGGTGCGTCATTTGGGCCAATTGTTCAGACTCTTTCTTCCCTCTGAAACCATTAACCAAAGCCACTAATAAGTAGAAATGCAGAGTTAAGAGCCCCATCCTCTCTCTTTCAATTTCCAGTGGACATATTAATGAGCAATAAAGCAGCTAAAAGGCAAACAGCTAAAGAAAGAGAAAGAAGCAAAGAAAGGTGATTGGGAGAACAGATATTCAGCCCTCAGCAGTGCAGATTGGGCTGCCCCAAGTGCCATGTGGGCTGTGATCACAGGAATTTGGAGCTCAATTTCTTAATTGCTTCTTTAGTCTTATCCAGAGAGAAAATTGGATTTCTAGAGATTTCTTCTGTGCAGAGAGCAATTATGCTAAAGCTGCTTAGGTAACAGCTTTTCTGGCCAGCCTTTCTCTCTCGGAATAATAAAGTATACGCAGAGCCGATTTCAGAGTGTACCTTCACCTCACCATCCAGGGTTTAGCCCCTCTTAGCAGCTGACGTGTTCTAGGACCTTAAAGAAATTCCAGAGCATTTTCTTCCTTTTGAAACTGGCTCTGCAATTAATTTACTGTCAGGTCTCTGCCATGTGGTTTTTATGCCATTACTCTACCTTTTAGATAAATTGTGTTTGACTTTCTTAAGTCAAGCAGTTTCTCAACTCTGATCATATATTTACCCCTCAATGCTGAGAGTCTGAGAATTAAAAGCACTAAGTAATGATAAGAACCCAAAATGCCTTTGGCAGAATACAGAATGCCACAGGACTGCTGAGAGCCCATAATCATAGTCTAGAACTTACATTTTCTTCCTTTCCTATAACATTATAGTAATAATAAAAGGTCAGGTTAGCCTTTGTTTGCTTCGTAAAACAGGGTAATCACACCATTTAAACACCATCCAGACCTACCACCCAAACAGATTCTCTCCCTCTCCTGCCCCTTTCTGAAATATTGTCTCTGTTATAATATGTTACTGCAAAATATTGTGTTTCAATGGGTTTCTTTCTGCTGATTAACAGGTTTTAGATTCAGGAAGACTGAAAGAATATGATGAGCCATATGTTTTGCTGCAAAATAAAGAGAGCCTATTTTACAAGATGGTGCAACAGCTGGGCAAGGCAGAAGCCGCTGCCCTCACTGAAACAGCAAAACAGGTGAGCGCACTCCGAGGAGTTGTAATTAAAGTTTGTCTCAGTGGCTCCCTCCACACAATTTGGCACCGTGGGTATGGTAACAAGCACTGTGTACCCTTTTCAATTATAAGCCTGCAGAGACAAAGCTTCATGGCTGGGTCTTAACGGCACATCCCAGGCTGAAGTCAGGTCTGCAGAGAGTTGGCAGAAACACACTGGGGGTTGAGTTGTGCACACACGTGTGCATGCAGGTGTGCCCAAGAAGAAGAGAGATATTAGACCGGACTTTCTACACATTTAGACTCTGTGGGTTCAGATTCTCTTAGAAAAAGGCATAGAGCACATTGTGCTCATATTCTGCAGACCCACTGCATTTCATTCTCAGCAGGCAAATGCTGTCGAGGTGCATACAGGAGATTTAAGAGTTTGAGCAAAAAGTGTGGAATGTTGTTCCTTGTTCTAGAAAGATCTACCTAGAAAAATGTGTGGATTGCTTTTGGTTTTTGTCTTATTATTTGTAAAGGAAACTCCTACATAATACTCTGTCACCCTAGGTTTCCCCCTCATTTTTGTTGTTTAGAGTCAGGCCCATGGAGCCCTTTATGCTTCTTCTACCTTCTATAAGATGCAGTTGCCATCAGGACAAATTGGGAATTTATAACATGTGAAAGCTATAAGCCGGTATAGTCCTTGAAGGTTTATACAGCACTAAAGACACACAGGCTACATGATCTCTTTCCAACGATGGTGATGTGGAAGTATCTCATTCTACAGATGCAGTTTGGTTTAAGGACTTAGCCAAATGTCACGCGGTCACAGCCAAATGTCACGTGGTCACCTGTAATTCCTTCTTATAATTCTGTAAGGTGAGAGTTGTATTGATGGAGGGAGGGAAGAAACATCTGTTGCTCTTGGCTTAGGGTGGAATGAAACTTCCAGCAGTACATGGTGGGGCTCCTATCAAACTGTTCATCTCGAGGCATTATAATATGGCTATGATTTTCCTTCTTCATTGTTTTCTATATTTTTCAGTTTTTAACACTGTAGGTACAATAAAATTGCTTGTTTGTATAAAATATTTAAAAAATCTATTATAGACAACAAAATAAGAATATATAGGCCAATTTGGTGAAATCACGTCTCTACTAAAAATACAAAAATTGGCTGGGCGCGGTGGCTCAAGCCTGTAATCCCAGCACTTTGGGAGGCCGTGGTGGGTGGATCATGAGGTCAAGAGATCGAGACCATCCTGGTCAGGTGAAACCCCGTCTCTACTAAAGATACAAAAAATTAGCTGGGCATGGTGGCGCGTGCCTGTAATCCCAGCTACTTGGGAGGCTGAGGCAGGAGAATTGCCTGAACCCAGGAGGTGGAGGTTGCGGTGAGCCGAGATCACGCCATTACACTCCAGCCTGGGTAACGAGCAAAATTCCGTCTCAAAAAAAAAAAAAATACAAAAATTACCTGGGCATGGTGGCATATGTAATCCCAGCTACTCAGGAGGCTGAGGCAGGAGAATCACTTAGACCTGGGAGGCAGAGGTTGCAGTGACCAAGATCACACCACTGTACTCCAGCCTGGCGACAGAGCAAGACACCATCTCAAAAAAAAAGAAAAAGAATATAAGTTCCCGTATCTAACAGTATTTCTGTATTAAAGATTTATCCAAATAAAACCTAGGTTCCCTTCAGTCCCTGTTTCATCTCATTCTCCATAGAAGTGAGGAATTGTCCTTTCCACTGTCTGTAGGATATTTCTTTGAATTTTAATGAATACATTAAACATGCCCCTTGTCATTGACAATATAAACCCAAGAATAGAGCAGAGTAGAGATTTGATTGGCGTGCTGGGCCCTGATGGCCATGATGATGATGAGATGTTACAGATGTGCACTATGTACTTCTCATTATGCCTGTTTAAGAGGCTGAGGCATAGAGAAGACGGGTAATGGCCCACAGTCTCATAGCTAGCAGAATTATCGGCAGAGTCCAGATTCAAGCCTGTCTTTAGGGTCGACAAAATCTGTGTTCTGAATTTTCATAAGAATCACATTGTGTATGAATAAAGAGGGATGCTCTGCTTGGCGCACTGTATTTCTTCTATACCTGAAATTTACAGAATATTTTTATCTTCTAGAGTATCTCCCAGTCAAAGCTTCCCTCATAAAACTCGATCAGTCATTTGGGATTCCCTGAATAATCTATTCACAAAAGAGCCAGGAACCTCAAAAACCCTTTTTGTTCTTCAATACCTCAGGCATTTCACATCAAAGAGATGTGTCCCTATCTATATTATCAAAGTACTCATTTAAAAAATATGTTACGTATTATCAAGGCACGGAGTAATAAGAAATAGGCCAAGAATTTTAGCACGCGCCAGCTAACATGAGCTAATATAGTTCACCTTTGTTTTACAGATGAGGAAACTAAGGCCCCAAGAAATAAGTGGGTCTAGACTAATTTATAGCAGAGACAGAATTAGGAATCTTTTTTATTAATCAATATTTAATGTAAGTATAACATACATGTAGAAAGGAACATTGGTCATAGAATTTAAAATCTTGATTACTGGTTCAGTAATCTTCCATCTAATTCAACAGTATTAATGATAACTTGCGTTTGTGTAGTTCCTTATAATTTATTTTACATTGTTTGCATAGTTCTTGCATGTATGATTCTACTTAATCCTCATAGCAGTCTGTAAGTCTGGCTGTATTGCCGAGGAAGTTGGATTGTGAGTCCTCAGGTGGACACACAGCTAGTCCGTGGAGAACAGAAGGTAGATTGATTGCTGGGAGAGTTGGTCCCTGTAGGTGGTGTTCTGTGTCAAGCCTGAAAACGCTGCACCTTGTCTCATTTGGTATCCAAGATGCAGCTAGTTGCCCAAATTCACACAGTGGCAGCACTTCCTTCCTGGATTTTAGTCCTGCCTAACCACTGGCTCAGATCACCTCTTCAGAAAGACACAAGGAAATACACAGCTTGATTCTCATCCAAGTTGAATATCTTCTTGACATTTCTGCATATACTTGGTCCTCTTAGGAGAGCAAGCTGTCAGAGTGTCAACCTTTTAAATGTGCAAGCATCAAATATCAAGGCATCATTCAGAACTGTAACGCCGTGAGGATTAGTCTAAATCAACAAGCTTTTCGCTCTCACAGATTAGAATTCATTTGTTGGAAAAGAAAACTCAACATCTGGGAAAAGGTACTTCCAAGTCACGTATTCTTGACCACGTAGTTGCTTTCCTGAAAATGCTGGTACAGGCAAAGCTGAGTCTTTCTTTTGACTGACCTTGGCAGATGACTCAGAATGTTCAGAAAGTACTTTTCAGGTACATAAAGCTGAAGGGTGCGCTGGTTTTCTCAGGCTGCCATAGCAAAGTAGGACAGGTGGCTTGACCCACAGCAGTTTATGTTCTCACACTTGTGTGCTAGAGTCTGAGATCTGAGTGTTAGCAGGGTGGCTTTCCTCTGAGATCTCTTTCCTTGGCTTGCAGATGGCTGTGTGTTCACAGGGTCTTTTCTCTGTGTATGTCTGTGTCCTAATCACCTCTTTCTTTTAAGAGCACCAGTCATATTAGATTAGGGCCTACCCTAAAGGCCTCATTTTAACTTAATTACATTTTTTAAGATTTTCCCCAAATAGTCACATTCTGATGTAATAGGGGTTAGGACTTCAACATAGGAATTTAGGGGGATGCAAATCAGCCCATAACACAGGGTATATGTCAATCACTGTCTTCCCTGATGAAGTAGACCTAATTGAGGTTCCCAGTGTATAACAGAGGTGCCACTTTCCATACCCATTAAATCACCAGATACAACTCAAAAGTTATGAAATCCTGGCCGGGTGTGGTAGCTCACACCTGTACTCCCAGCACTTTGGGAAGCCAAGGCTGGGGGATCACTTGAAGTCAGGAGTTCGAGACCAGCCTGGCCAACATGTTGAAACACTGTCTCTACTAAAAATACAAAAATTAGCTGGACATGGTGGCACCTGCTTGTAATCCCTGCTAATCGGAAGGCTGAGGCTGGAGAATCGCTTGAACCGGGAGTTGGAGGTTGCATTGAGCCCAGACCATGTGACTGCACTATAGCCTGGGGGACAGAGCCAGCTCCATCTCAAAAAAAAATGTGTATATATATATACACTATGTATATAGTTATGAAACCCCAACACACATATATATGTGTATGTGTGTATATATATGTATGTATATATGTGTGTGTGTGTGTGTGTGTGTGTGTGTATATATATATATATATATATATATATATATATATATATAGAGAGAGAGAGAGAGAGAGAGAGAGAGAGAGAGAGAGAGAGAGTTTCACTCCTGTTGCCCAGACTGGAGTGCAGTGATGCAATCTCAGCTCACTGCAATCTCCATCTCCTGGTTCAAGTGGTTCTCCTGCCTCAGCCTCCCCAGTAGCTGGGATTACAGGCACTTACCACCACGCCAGGCTAATTTTTTTGTACTTTTAGTAGAGACAGGGTTTCACCATGTTGGCCAGGCTGGTCTCGAACTTCTGACCTCAGATGATCCACCCACCTTGGCCTCCCAAAGTGCTGGGATTACAGGCATGAGCCACTGCAACTGGCCAGTTACTTCATTTTTGATGGCAACCTAGTATTTATAGTTTTTCTACTGTTTACTTTTTATTTTTCCCAATTAACTTTCAATTAAATTAGATATTTTTGTTTTTTTACTGGTGAATGATCTATCAGGTTTTTTTTTTTTTTAACTAGTTCTTTTTTTTTTTGAGACGGAGTTTCACTCTTGTTACCCAGGCTGGAGTGCAATGGCGCGATCTTGGCTCACCGCAACCTCCGCCCCCTGGGTTCAGGCAATTCTCCTGCCTCAGCCTCCTGAGTAGCTAGGATTACAGGCACACACCACCATGCCCAGCTAATTTTTTGTAGTTTTTAGTAGAGACGGGGTTTCACCATGTTGACCAGGATGGTCTCAATCCCCCGACCTCCTGATCCACCCACCGCGGCCTCCCAAAGTGCTGGGATTACAGGCTTGAGCCACCGCACCCAGCCTTAACTAGTTCTTATATTCTGTTTTCCAGTTGATCAATTTTTGCTTTTATCTTTATTACCTTTCTTTTCTGGTTTTTCTTGTTTCTTCTTCTTGAAGGCATTTGTATTCTTTCTTTCTTCCTTAGAATTTTAAGGCTGTGAATTCTCCTGTGCTTTAGGTTTTGATATGTAGTGCTTTTATTCATAGTTTATTTTTTATTTATATATTCTGCAATTTTGGGTTTGATTTCCCCTGGCCCAGAAATTATTGAAGAGGGAAGTTTTTAAAACGTTTTGGTGGTAGGGGTTTATTTTTCTCTTCATTTATTTTCTGTTTTACTCATCAGTTTCATTTTCATTGCTTGTCATCCATATCATTTTTATCCATTCAGAATTTCATTTCTTGTGTCTTACTATAGGTAGTTTTTCTGGATGTTCTTTGGCATTGAAAAGAAGATGTTACCTGTTAAAGGTGTACTACCTTGTTAATTACATTCTTATTAATCCTTATTTATATTGGTCTGTTTCTGTGACTTGGATCTGGAGGTGAATTAGTTTAATACTAGACATATTTCTCTTTGTAGCACCTGTCCTTGTTGTTTTGGTAACTTTGATGCCATGGTTTTCAGTCCACAGATGTTCATAACTTGGGTTTCCATTATGAGTTATATTTCCTGCCATTTTAACATGGCTTTCTTTGATTCATGTAATGATTTTGGTTCTGAATCCATGCTGGTTCAAAACTAGATTGGGTCCCCTGCTTTTACTTTGTTTTCTTTGTCTGATAAATATGGAATTGTCTTGGAATATCCAAAGGTGTGTCTGCTGTGTATGACGTGGTTAGGTTTTACTCTGAGATTTAATCTTAGCCTTTGTTTTTAATAGATGATTTTAGTGCATTTACATTTATTGAGATTGTAAGTATGTCTTATCTTAGTTCTGTCATTTTATGCTTTCAGTTTTAATATTCATTTTCTTTTTACCATTTGATTTGTAGTAGGTAATTTTTGTTTCTTTGCTTATTGCTCTGTATGTGTTCCTTTTGTTTCCTGTAAATGCTATTTCTTTATTGACTCCCCATTATAAACAATGAGAGTGTAAATACACTTCTCTCTCCACCCTACCATCAAATTTTAGCTTAGTTTTTCTTCTGTTTGCCTTCAAACCTCAAATATACTTAAGCCTTTGTTATTTGACTTTAAATAATACTTTCTTCATCTCTTATTAGCTAAAGTTTATCTTTCAGTACTTTTTAACCTCAGTCTGTAACCCATTAGTGGTGCTGTAGAATCCATTTAGTACATTATGACTAGCCTGTCTTAAGATATCAAATAGAAAAGAATGGAATGGAAGAAAAGTAACAATGTATCTTTCATAGTAATGGTAATATTTTTAAATGCTTTTCAGTATAGATACAGATATAGACAGTGGATGTGTGCCAAGTCCCAGTGTATAGTGAAATGTGCCACCCATTATTGTGCGTGGCAGTGCTCTATACCATCTTAAAGGGAAGGGTTCCTTGGAGCTTAGGATCCCTGACTTAGTGCATGTCTGAAATCTTTGTTACCTCTCTGATTTAAATTTGGTGGTTATGCCATGCACATGTTTACTCATGTGACAAACCAGCACATGTATCCTGGAACTTAACTTTTTAAAAATAAAATTTTTTTTTAAAGTGGTGGTTATAAAATTGTTGGATCATACCTTCTTTCACTTAGTATGATGCAGCCTTTGCTCTAAGGTCTTCTAGTGTTGTCTGTTTATATGGAGACGTCTGTGGCCATGTTTGACATAACTCGGCCTTTTTTCTTTTTCTGTTTTGAGGCAGGGTCTTGTTCTATTGCCCAGGCTGGAGTGCAGTGGCACAATCATAGCTCACTGGAGCCTCAACTTTCCAGGACCAAACAATGCTCCCTTCTCAGCCTCCCTTAAAGCTGGAACTATAGACACACATCACCATGTGGAGCTAAATTTTTTTTTTTCCTCCCATAGAGACGAGGTCTCACTATGTCACCCACACTGGTTCTTTTTTTTTTAAGATTGAGTTTCACTGTTGTTGCCCAAGCTGGAGTGCAATGGCACAATCTTGGCTCACCTCAACCTCTGCCTACCTGGCTTCAAGTGATTCTCCTGCCTCAGCCTCCCCAGTAGCTGGAATTACAGACATGCACCATCACGCCTGGTTAATTTTGTATTTTTAGTAGAGACAAGGGTCTCCATGTTGGTCAGGCGGGTCTCGAACTCGCAACCTCAGGTGATCCACCCATCCCAGCCTCCCAAAGTGTTGGGATTACAGATGAGTGCCACTATGCCCAGCCAAGTCTCTTTTTTTTGCATGCTAAAAGGGTCATCAGTTTTCCTAGGACATAATTGTGTAGTCTTCCAGACTTTTGATTCAAATTTTCTTTTGTTTCTGGAAGTTTAATTGAATTATATCCTTGAATTTTTTTATTTGATTTTTAAAATTCTCTTCTTTACAAGTATCTATCATGTATATGTTTTATGTCCTTTATCTGTTTTATAAAGCTGTTTATTCCTTAATCCTTTTTAGTCATTAATTTTTAGTTATTTTGTTTGCTTGCTCAGTCCTGTTCTGTGCCTCATACAGTTTTTTCACTGTTGGCTAATCTTCGTGTTGCCTTCAGTAGAACTGCCATTTGTGGGGTTTTTTTCCTTTTTTTTTTTTTTTTTTTTTTTGAGACAGAGTCTCCTATATTACCCAAGCTGGAGTACAGTGGTGTGCACTCAGCTCACTGCACCCTCCACCTCCCAGGTTCAAGCAATTCTCATGCTTCACCCTCCCAAGTAGCTGGGATTACAAGTATGCACCACCATGCCCAGCTAATTCTTATATTTTTAGTAGAGACAAGGCTTCATTGTGTTGGCCAGGCTGACCTCAAACTTCTGGCTTCAAATAATTTTCCCTTCTCAGCCTCCCAGATTGCTGGGATTGCAGGTGTAAGCCACTACACCCAGTCCATTTCTTTGATATTTTCACTTTTCTCTTCCGCTTCACTTTTGACCACCGTCAACTCATGTTTCAGCATCTTCTGTTGCTCTGCCATGTTTTTCCATATCTCTGTTATGCACAGCCTGATCATTCTGCTTCATTTTCTTTGAATGCATCATATTCATAAATTTTATGTGATTAACATCTGTCATGTGTTTATCTTATTCCTTTTCTTACTTATTTGTATATTTTCAGACCCTGTACTACTTGTCAAATTCTTCTTCTTATTATTATTATTCCTACTGCTCACCTGTGAATAAAACCAACTCTTCCTAGACCAGATAGTTGCAGGATAGTTGTGGCTAGGGCTTTGTTTCTGGCTAATGGGAATTTTCTGTGCTTAATATAGAAATACTTTATGACCCAGAGAGGGTGTGTGTGTGTGTGTGTGTGTGTGTGTGTGTGTGTGAAGTTGAGAATGCATGCTTTGCTTTTCTTTCTCCTTAGCTTACAGAATTGGGCAATTGCAATCTCTCTTCTCCCAGGACCTCACCCATGTACATAGGTCAGTCAAAGATGTTTCTATATGATTCTTTATTGACATACCTTAGAGTTCCTCCCATTAATTGGGGAAGTTTACTCCCCTATGACTGTCAAGGCCTGCTCTTCATAGAGATATTCTCTGCCTTGCCAGAGTCCCATTGGATCCAGTTGCATATGGCAGCCCTTGATGATATTTTACCATTCAGGCTCTCCTGATTTCACAAAGATTTAGCTTATTTTTTATGAATCAATATCTGTGATGTTCAGAGTGATTTCTGAAAGGAAAAGAAGAGAGAAAATTCATTACTCCATTATCCTAAAAGCAGAAGTCCTTTCTAAGTCTCCATAACTCTTTAACTTTGACAATATACGTGCCATTCATGGACACCAAATTAGACCAGCTATACAAATGATAAACTTGAGGCCTTGAGAGTTACTATGATTGAATTAGGGCCAGAGACATCAGTAAGAATGAACTGACAGGGTCTTGAGCCAGCATTCAACACATCAGTTGGTGTCTCAGGAATGCAATGCCTATCAAAGCCCAGTTGCTCTCCATTGTCCTCGCTGGGGAGCTTGTATTGCTCTGTTGATTTTAGTAAAATCTAGTTCTGTTATGGGGGCCTGGTTGATGAGCTAGAGTTTAAATACTGAACTTAGTTTCAACCTACATTAGAGGAACTATAATGGAGCAAACTCAAGAAAAGAAGGAAAAGGGGGACAAGGTGTTCCATACTCACTGGCCTGATGCTCTTCTTGCCCCAAACATGAATGGCATTGTCTCCTTTAGCCTTCACAGTCCTTCTCATCTGCTGTTACACCTTTTTGACGCATGAAAACACTGAAATAAAAGAAGCTGAGTAACTTTTTTTGTTTTTGTTTTTGAGACAGGGTCTCATTTTGTCACCCAGGCTAGAGTGCAGTGGCACAATCTTGGCTCACTGCAGTCTCCGCCTCCCAGGTTCAAGTGATTCTCCTGCCTCGGGCTCCCGAGTAGCTGGGACTACAGATGGCGCACCACCATGCCTGGCTAATTTTTGTATTTTTAGTAGAGATGGGGTTTCACCGTGTTGGCCAGGCTGGTCTCGAACTCCTGACCTCAAGTGATCCACCCGCCTTGGCCTTCCAAAGTGCTGGGATTACAGGCGTGAGCCACCGCACCCAGCCTGAGTAATTTTTCAAAGCCACCAGTTCATAAGTGTTCATACTCTGACTTCTGTGATCTTTCATTTCTACCTTTCTGCCTCCCAGGATACCATATTCACTCAGTTGAAGTTGTCTCAGCCACAGTTTTGGGGTTCTGTAAAGATAAAAGATACACCGGGGGACTCCTTGAAGGCTTTGCCTTCATCCTTCAAGCCGGGCAATACTGCCATGTTCTGCATACTTAGAAGATACTTCTCTGAGCAGCATTCATCATGATACCCAACACTGATGCAGCAGGTTTTCAGCCTGTAGTTTGTAGCCATTAATCAGTTCCTGTGATGTCAGCTATTATCTCATGTTACAGATAAGGCAGCTGGTGGAGAGAGTGGTTAGGTAATTTTTCTATGATCAGCAATGAATCCCAGGAGAGAGCTGGGACTGGACTGGTCCATCCCAGGCATAGCTTACAACAAGAGGGCTTTGCTAAAAGTTGTTCAATAATCTCAACTCCCCTCATCACCTGCACTGTAAAAAAAAATATATATATATATATTTATCTCACCTGTGTGGTTATCCATAGTGTGTTATAAAACCTGGTAGTGGAAGAGAAAACGAAAGGTCAAATCAAAGATTATATGCACAAGAAGTATGTTTTTAACGAAGTTGTTCAAACCATGAAGCTAAGACCATTTGGGTTTAAAATGGCAAATAACATTTTCTTTATAAAAAATTAAATCAGAGGGTTACCCAGCAGGAGCCAGCCTATTTGGAGAAGGCTGTCAAGCAGTATAAGCTGATGTGAATGTCTGTTTGTTCTTTTGGCTGGTTTTGGTTTCACTAAGGAATAGCTTTTTCGGAGTACATTAATCTATAACCACACAAAATATGGCTAACTTTAAAAGTGGGAGAGGGAGATATGAAATTATCCCCCCAAAAGTCTTATTTTTGAACACTTGCATTATAATGGAAATAGCCTCAGATTTCATCTGGTGGCATCTCAGCATTATTGGACAATTTATATTCTCCTTAAGTGGCATTTTAATATATAGTGTTTTATATGTAATGACGTTTCTGGAGTAAGGAGTATGCAAGCCGTGAAAGAGATAGAAGGTACACTTAACATGCAGGCAGGTGTCTCAGCACTTTCTTTTTTGTGTGTGAAGCCTGTTATCTTCAGCGATAACTTTGCTGATAGCACCCACAAATATATTCAGAGCCAGGTTTTATAAAATAGATCCAGAATCGTATGACTAAAAGACCCAGCTGACACGTGTCAGCCTCAGATCGTTGCTACATTTTCTGTTTTAAAGACTCAAACAAAACTTTTCACATTCTTCTTTGGGGGAAAAAAATTACATTTGAAGTCCTTTTTCACCCAAACACATTTTGAGATAAGAGCTCACAAGTCTCGACATTATTTCATTTTGTGATGCGCATCTGTCAAGGAACCAAGATACGATACAGCTACTAAAAACTGTTGATTGTGGAACAGAGAAACTTGACAGCATTTCATTTCCTTTATGTTCTGATTATACATTTATCAGAAAACCTGTATCTCTTCTAGTTCAGCTAGAAATTGTTAGAATTCAGGAACTCAAAGGCTTGGCAAAGAGCTGTCCTATTATTTGGTATCATCTTACATTTTAGAGAAGTTGCTTGGTTGAGTCATTGTTAAAGCTTTTGCTTCTCTTTTCATTATTGTGGACCACTCTCCACAGACCCCATTTCTATAGGCTCTATAACTGCTTTGCCGCACAAATTAAATGCCGGGATGTTTCATACATATACGCCAGCATTTCAATGCTTGTCCATCAGAGTTCATAAAATACAGGGATTACAACTTGATATTAACATCCAAATCTATTGTGCTCATTTTATGTGTGAAAATGAGAAACCCTCATGCAGACGCTAGATTTCCCAGCCTCTTTGTCACCCTGTTTTTAATTTATCTCTACGTTTCGAGTCAGTAAAATGACTCTGCTTGTCTATTTACTACAGAGATAAAGCATATCTAGGAATCAGAGTGATCAGAACTCAAATGCATCTACAGGTTGTTTGGCATTCAGCCCAGCCCTGCTGAGGGTTTTAGTGGGGCTAATTCCTCTGTACAGTGTATTCATGCCTGGTCTTAAATTGTGCCTCAGTGAGGGATATGATTTGCTTCCCATGAAGAAGTGGACACAGAAGTGCGTTGTTTTAGGGAAGAGGACTTTAAAATTTTGAAACATTCTTTTTATGCTTGCTTTTTTTTTTCAGGTATACTTCAAAAGAAATTATCCACATATCGGTCACACTGACCATATGGTCACAAACACTTCCAGTGGACAGCCCTCGACCTTAGCTATTTTTGAGACTGCACTATGAATCCAACCAAGATGTCAAGTGTGTTCCAAAAGCGTTTTCTGCTAGTTTTTGGACTATGTAAACTATATTGTACTTTTTTTTACTTCAGCAGCAAAATATTTATACATACAAGATGTTCGTTTGAATTCTTCTCCTTACTTATCCAGTGATCTCCAGCTCTAACAAAATGTTTATTATTATTTAAATGTCAACCGTTGTTTTTTAAAATCCAAATCAGAGGTGTAGGCCACCAGTTAAATGCTGTCTATCAGGTTTTGTGCCTTAAGAGACTACAGAGTCAAAGCTCATTTTTAAAGGAGTAGGACATAGTTGTCACAGGTTTTTATTGTTGTTGTTGTTTTTACTGCCCCCAAAATTACATGTTAATTCCCAGTTATATCAGGGATTTTATTTACTTGAAGACTGTGAAGTTGCCATTTTGTCTCATTGTTTTCTTGGACGTAACTATGATCCATTATTTCCCCTGAAGACTTCTTGTTAGAAAATAGTACAGTTAAAACCAATAGGAACAACCAAAACAAGTTTGCAACATTTTAGTAGAATGTTGTCCTCAAAAGAAAAAAAATGGATATATGGTTAAAGGATAGAAGGACAATATTTTATCATATGCTCTGAAAGAGAAGGAAGAGAAAATACTACTTTCTCAAAATGGAAGTCCTTAAAGGTGTTTTGTTACTGAAGGACACAAGCGTGACCATTATTAGAGTTGCATGACTTGGACATGGGAACTTGCAGTTTTAGACTCAGCAACGTGACATGTCCTAAGAAGGCCAAACCTCTAGCTGACATTCCTGAAATACATGGCATTATTCTTTTTTGCATTGCTCGTTTGTGGAAGGCTAACCCTCTGTTGACTGTAAGCCTTTTGGGTTAGGCTTTATTGAAATCCTTCCTAAATTGCATGAACAGGCTTTGCTAACGTGATGAGACAAACTGAGAATTGTTGCAAGCATTGACTCTTAATTCTGCAGTGCATTCTCAGGATGTGTCCAGGGGTTCACTTTCATGAGCCTGTTCAGGTTAGTTTACTTCTGATCACTAATAGCATTGTCATTTGCCCTTTCTGTTGATTGAATCAGCAAACCACAATACTTCCTGGGACCTGTTGTACATTGTTTGAACTATGAGCCTTTAATTTTTCTGGATGGTGGTGACTGTGATGTGCTGAGTTCAGTTTACTAAAGGTTTTACTATCATGGTTTGACGTGAATTCTCATGACCTCTCAGTATAAGGCGTTACCCCCCTGAAATTGCATATATGTGTATAGACATGCACACATGTGCATTTATGTGTATACATATGTGTGCCCTTCATATAGCAAATATTTTGATTCATCAGCAGAGAGAAACAGATGTTTCATTAAGTGAAGCCTTAAAAAGCACACACACAGCTAACTACCAAAATGCATTGACTGTAGCGACTGTTCAACTCCTAGTACTTAGAAATGTGTGGTTAATGGTCTGTCCAATAAACCACACACAGTAAATGTTGATTAATAGTCATGGTTCGTATTTTTAGGTGACCAAAATGACAGCAGTGATCATATGAGGTTTGTTAAAACGTTAGCTATATTTGAAATGTCTATATGTTTATTTGGTCTTTTGAGGTTAAAGACAGTCATATAAATGACCTGTTTTGCTTTAATGTTATCATAGAATTTTTTAATAGAACCAAATTCAATTGAAATAAATGATGGTTTTCATCTCCATTCAGAGATCTGTATTTCTGTGCTTTGAGGGATTCCTGACTCTTGTTCTTGCTGATGAAAGCCAGTGAGTTCTCCTGAGATTGAAAAATATGGGATCAAAGGATACCTTCTATCATCAACCGGTTCTCTTGGTGAATTAAGTGTACCAAATATTCTAAGGGGGAGATTTCAGTGGGTTTCAGACAGGTTGAAGCAGTTGCTATTTTAAGCAAGTCCATTTGCACCCTTCCAGGAAGAAAGAGTATTAGCTTATATCTCAGACTTGAACAATATTAAATGGTTGATGTTTTTGTTTTAGTTTTTTAAGGTGATTTTGTCCAAAACTAACAAGTTACATCTATTGCTGTTACACTTAAATCACTATTAAATAATGATTCTCAAAGTGTGGTCCCTGGACCAGCAGCATAGTGCATCACCTGGGAACTCATTAGAAATGCACGCTTTTGTGCCTCCCCCCAGATCTACTGAATCAGAGACTCTGGTGGTGGGGACCAGTAATGTGTGTTTTAACAAGCCCTAAGGGTGATTTTTTAAGGGCCATGCTAATCCTCTCTGTATCATTCCAATTTTAGTATATGTGCTGCCGAAGCGAGCACCCTAAGGGTGATGCAGGCTGAAGTCTGAGAACGAGCACCGTAAGCTATAAAGAACTCTTAAAACTCATTAAGAAAAACAGAAAGCCCAATTAGAGAAATGGACAAGAGATTTGAATGGTTATTTCACAAAAGAGAATATCCAAATGGCCAATAACTGGAAAAGTGCTCACTCTTTATTAGTTACCAGGGAAATGCAAATTAAAACCACTCTGAGTTACCACTAGACACCCACTGGGATGTCTAAAATGTAAAAGACTGAGAACCAAGTGCCAATGAAGCAACAGGAATCCTCATGTACTGCTGTGTACGTATATTGAAAAACCATCTTTGGAAAACAGTTTGACAGCATTTACTCAAACCGCACACCCTATGATCCATTTGTGCCACTCCAGATGTGTACATATGTGCACCAAGACGTGTTGTCAAGGATGTTCCTAGAAACATAATTCCTAATAGCCCAAACTGAAGATAATTCAAATACTCATCAACAGCAGACGGAAAACAAATCATGAGGTGTTAAAATACTCTACAGCAATGAACGCAATTGAACTACATGAAGAACTCATGAGTTTCACAGACATAATATTTATTCCAAAGAAGCCCAACCCAAAAGAATGTTTATGATCCCATTTATATAAAATGCACAAACATTACAACTGAACAAAGGAGTGCAACATCAGAACAGTTAATAACTTTGGGGAAATGGAAGGTGTTGGTAACTGGGGGAAATACAAGAAATACACACGAATCTTCTAGGATACTTAAAATGTTTCTGTTTGTTTGGCTGGGTGGTGATTAGATTGTTATTCATTGAACACTTTCATGTGTCATACTTCACAATTGAGTTAACTTTTTAAAAAGTTATTCTTGGCCTTGTGTTTCCTTTAGAATCTCAGATTCAGTGCCTCAGCCTTCTAAAAGAGAATAATTTACGTGAGAAATTATTTCTGATGAGTTCTTAAAATAAGAGCCTCTGTGAGTGTTGTCTTTTGTGGCCTGTCGCAGCTGATGCATTTGATGGTTTTGGTACCTGAGAAGCCAAAGTCTCTATTTTTTGTAACCAATTAATAAACCTCAACTTACTCTTCAATTTTAGGATAAGTACAAAAATAAGGAACTCTGAGGTTTTTCTGGATTCTATTTTTTAACCACTTTATTGAAGTATGACAGGCATACAGAAATTATGCATATTTCATGTATATGCCTTGTGCTTGGAGATAAGTATCACCTATAAAACCATCACCACATTCTATGTCATAAACATATCCATCACCTCAAAGTTTCCACCTGCTCATTTTCTATTTTTTAATCTGTATTAGATGGGATGAGGTACATAAATAAAATAACTTCAGGGAATTGGTCTCGGCAAAGATGTATGGCTAAGACTTCAAGGACAGGCAACTTAAATAGACAAATGGGACTCTATTAAACTGAAAAGCTTCTGCACAGCAAAGGAAGCAATCAACAGAGTGAAGAGACAGCCTGTTGAATGGGAGAAAATATTTGCAAAGTATTCATCCAACAAGGGACTAACATCTAGAATATACAAGGAACTGCAACAACTCAACAGTAAAAACCCACATAATTCCATTAAAAAGCAGGGAAAGGGCATGAATAGACATTTCTCAAAAGAAGACATACAAATGTCCAACAAATAAATGAAAAATGCTCAACATCACTAATCACCCAGGAAATGCAAATCAAAGCCACAATGAGATATCACCTTTCCCCAGTTAGAAGGGCCATTATTAGAATGAGATAATAACGGATCCTAGTGACAATGCAGAAAAGAGGGAACTTTGATATACTGTTAGTGGGAATGTAACTTAATAGAATCCTATGGAAAACAGTATGGAGATTTTTTTTTTTTTTGAGACGGAGCTTCTGTCTCCCGGGCTGTAGTGCAGTGGCATGATCTTGGCTCACTACAATGTCCATCTCCCAGGTTCAAGTGATTCTCCTGCCTCAGCTCCGGAGTAGCTGGGATTATAGGCGTCAAGCTAATTTTCGTATTTTTAGTAGAGATGGTGTTTTACCATGTTGACCAAGCTGATCTCGAGCTCCTGACCTCAGGTGATTTGCCTGCCTTGGCCTCCCAGAGTGCTGGAATTTAATGTGTGAGCCACCATGCCTGGCCTAATATAGAGATTTCTAAAAAGAAAACACCTAAAAATAGATGTACCTTACAGCCGGATGTGGTGGCTCACGCCTGTAATCTGAGCACTTTGGGAGGCCAAAGCAGGAGGGTCACCTGAGGTCAGGAGTTCAAGACCAGCCTGGCCAATATGGTGAAACTCCATCCCTACTAAAAATACAAAAGTTAGCCATGCCTGTAATCCCAGGTACCTGGGAGGCTGAGGCAGGAAAACCACTTGAACCCAGGAGACAGAGGCTGCAGTGAGCCGAGATCAGGCCACTGCATTCCAGCATGGGTAGCAGAGTGAGACTCCGTATCAAAAGTTAAAGAAAAAATTGATGTATCATACAAATCAGCAACCCTGCTGACTGTATTTATCCAAAGGAAATCAGTGTATCAAAGGGATGCCTGCACTCTTTTGTTTATCATAGCAGTATTCACAATAGCAGAAATACGGCATCAACCTAAGTTTCCATCAACAGATGAAATAATTTTTTGCTGATGGCAGCGGCTCAGACCTGTAATCCCAGCACTTTGTGAGGCCAAGGCAGGCAGATAACCTGAGGTTGGGAATTTGAGACCAGCCTGACCAACAAAGAGAAACCCATCTGTACTAAAAATACAAAATTAGCCAGGTCATACCATAATCTCAGCTACTAGGGAAGGTGAGGCAGGGGAATCGCTTGAATCCGGGAAGCGGAGGTTGCAGTGAACCAATATTGCATCATGGCACTCCAGCCTGGGCAACAAGAGTGAAACTCTGTTGAAAGGAAAAGAGAGAGAGAGAGAGAGAGAAAAGGAAGGAAGGGAGGGAGGAAGGGAGAGAGAGAAAGGAAAGGAAGGAAGGGAGGGAGGGGGTGGGAGAGAAAGGAAAGAAAAAAAGGAGGAAAGAGGGAGGGGAGGAAGGAGGGAAAAAAAGAAAGGAAAAAGACCATTTTTAACATTGTATGTATATATATATATATATACACATACATACATACATATATGTACCATGCAATGCTATTCAGCCATTAAAAAAAAAGAATGGAACCATGTCATTTGCAGCAACATGGATGGAACTGGAGGTCATTTTGTTAAGTGAAATAAAGCAGGAACAGAAAGACAAATACCACATGTTCTCTCATACTGGAGCTAAAATATTTGATTTCATGGAAATAAAGACTAGAGTGATAGACACCAGAGGCTGGGAAGGGTGTGTGGGTGAGAGAGGGAGGCTGGTTAATGGGTATGAACAGAAGTAGAAGAAAGAAGTTCTAATGTTTAATAGCAGCCTAGGGTGACTATAGTTAGCAACAATATATTATACATTTCAGAGTAGCTAGAAGAGAGGACTTGAAATGTTACCAGTACATAGAAATGATAAATACTGAAGGTGATAGATACCTTCAAATACCCTGGCTTGAACATTACACATTCTATGCATGTAGCAAATACATGAATCCCATAAATATGTAATTTTAAAAATACATACCATGGACTGGGCACGGTGGCTCACACCTGTAATCCCAGCACTTTGGGAGGCGGAGGTTGGTGGATTACGAGATCAGGAGTTCAAGACTAACCTGGTCCACATGGCAAAACCCCATTTCTACTAAAAATACAAAAAATTAGCTGGGTGTGATGGCGTGCTCCTGTAATCCCAGCTACTCTGGGGCTGAGGTAGGAGAATCTCTTGAACCTGGGAGGCGGAGGTTGCAGTGAACCGAGATCACACCATTGCACTCTAGCCTGGGCAACAGAGCAAGACACCGTCTCAAAAAAAAAAAATATATATATATATATATATATTTATATATAATATATATATATACACACACACACACACACTCAGAAGAAATAATGCTAAATGCTTTTAGTAACACTAAGTGGTTGGTGTCTTTTGAAGAAACAACTTTAATCAATTCAGTGAGTCAGTGAATTAGATTTATTATTTAGTATTGTTACAATTTAGCGAGTTGAGTTAATGATAATTTGTCAGCTGATTAACTTGTCCTTATGTACTGCAATGAAAATCCGTGTTTTTCTTTCAGAGGGTTTGTGGAGATTTTAGAAGCCTGTCTTCTCAAATCTCAGTATTTGTTTCAAATCCTATTCTCAAAAGATTAATGAGGTTCAGAATCTCATGCCCTGAAGTGTGTTAGATTTTACACCTGAATGAATGTGTAAGTCACTTCCCACAACCAAATCTATTTTAGAGTGTTTTCAAGATGTGCCTTTACCTAGAAAACTGTATGACATTCTGGCCACCACAGCTCAAAATAAGGTCTTTATAATTCCACAAATGTGATTTACATTACTAATGGACTTACTTTACTAAAAGCAAAGAGGAAATCCTTCACCTGGAATGAAGAAAACTAAGAATGTTCAACAATTAAATCCCATCCTAAAATCCATGTCTACAGTCATCCCAACAATTCACCAAATGATCCACTTACCAAATCTTCATTCTTTGAAGATAGAGTAAATGTGTGTCAATAAAATACTTCCATCCTACTTGATAAATATTAATGGACCACATTATTCCCTAAATACAGATTAAAAAACAAATAGTTTTTCTCAAAAACTATAATAAACTCATGGTTTAGTTTCCACAAAATACAGGTGTTTTAATGGACATGTTGATCCTTATCAAATGGAAGTTTTCAACCCAGAGGGTAACTGCATTCACATATAGAGTCCTTGTTTACACTATTTTATACTCTATTTCAGGATTTAGAAATAAGTGTTCTGATTCTGCAGAAGCTGTGTGGGGATTGGGAAGAAATAAGTCTTAGGAGTATAACTAACAATTTTCAAGTAAAAATTCTCCCCAAGCCCTAGAAGCTTCTTTGGTCTGTGCTGCAGTTTGATTGGGATGGAG